TCTTGCCATGTGCTCTATGCAAATACCAGGTGTGTGAAAAACACAAGGGAATAGGCTAAACCAATCGAGACTAAAAAAGTCGCTGGGGAATCGAAATTAACCAATGAAAGAAAAGCCAACAGTTAGAAAACTAAAAGAAGCTAAAACGAGGTTTGGGTGATCAATGGAAGGGGTCGGAAAGAGTAGTCAGTAAAACATATGATGCAATATTCAGTGAAAGGAATAAGAATATGTAATGTGTAAAAATATCAAACGCAAAATTACATGCTTAAAAATATCAATCACAAAATTACAAAATAAAGGAAATGGCAGCTGGTACACGAGAATATCTGTCATTTAAATAATCCAACAAAAACTCCAACATATCCTTAATCCTCTGACTTGGCCTCTTGCCGTGTACAGGCAGTTCAAACAGCCGTATCTCTGGATGCGCCTGTCTAAATAAGTCCAAAATATGGGCCAAATTTGCATCATAGAGTTCATCTTTGTTGCCTATAGCGACAATCATATCAATCTACAAGAAAAGAAAAAAAATCTTAGTGGTAAGCATGAAATAAAACTGAAGGGAAATTGATGAACATACTTACCGACACTTTTTGTGTGTGCCGTCTGAAACAGTGCGGACAACCGTAAAAGTGAGAGTATGGTTTTCGTTCCAATGCAGACGAAAAACTTTTGTAACCGGTGGAAAATGAAAATGCCACGAACATTGGAATGTCTGTGTCAAGGCAACGGGGAAGGCGGGTAAATTCCGCATTCATTTTTTTCCTTTCGTCATTAGTCATAAAGCAATGTCTCCAGAACATAATGAGAACTTGATCCTCGAAAGGTAGCACGTTGCCGAACGGCTTGTTTGTGGGGTCTACTAAGCCCTTGTAATTCATTTCTTCGTTACCAAAAACAGCACAACAGAGAGTGTCTTGCCATGTGCCTTAGCAAATGCTAGGTGTGTGAAAAACACAAGGGAATAGGCTAAACCAATAAAGTTGGAAAAAGTCGCAGGGGAATCCAAAAAGCACCAATGAAAGAAAAGCCAACAGTTAGGAAAACGAAAAAAAGCATGAAATAAGCCTCATTTCGCTTTACCGTTGTACCTTGTTTCGTAATCGAAAATGATGTCCCTTCAAGAACTAAGTCTGAAAGCTGTGCCACACCCGGGGGAGCAAGCCAGAAAGTTTTTGCCGCCATGGCATACTGTACGTATTGCACTGGAACAAAGGGAATTTAATGAAAGGACTGACAGGTTCAGAGAAGAACACAAACTGGACCCTGCCCTTGTATCCCAGCCACGTGTGGTGGCTACAGCGAACTTAGCTAAAGGCGTGGATTGTTCTTTGTTTAGAGAGACGCTTATGGACATAAGGACATTAAGAGATCTTGACTGGAGGTTATCCATGAAAATTTATTTTGCCAACTTTCTCCATTAATTTAGACTAACGTTACAAATTGTAAAAGTATACCGAGGTGGAAACCAAAACGGAATGTGACCCGTAGCACTGTTTGTACGTTTTATGAACCGAGCTTACAGCAATGGAAATTAAAACAGACATTGGCCCGCGTATGCGTTTATTGCATTTGATATCCGTGTAATGGCGGATAGTTAAATCGGTAAAGTGTCTCAGTAATTAGTAGCTGTCGTTGAGGTCAATGTTAAAAACTAATTATGTATTTGTAAGTAGATAGTCGCATATAGATAGGATGATGTCATAGTCTATTTGTAGCTGGCAAGGAGCAAGTGACGTCAGAATTTGCTACAGTTATCAAAAAAAGTTGAGATCATAATCTATAAACAGAAAAGTGATTTTTATATAATTAGCTATTAGCTGCAGTCTTCTGATTAGATATTGTTTGCTATAGTCTTCTGACTGGATATTGTAGAAACTGTCATGTGTTCAAAATAAAAGCGGGCAAATTTTGAACGTGTTATCTTTGCAGATTATGCTACATGAAAAATCTTTAATCGTTAAATTATTTTCACTAAAAATAGGTTATAAACAAAAACAAGACACGGAGGTTAACTGAAAAATCGTTACCTCAAAAGAAGGGAAAAGGAGGTTAAGTGAATGCGAAATCGTACTAATTTTTCAGGCAAAACATGAAAACGAGGTCGAAGCTCAGCGAAGCGAAAATCTTTGTTTTCTTGACTCTGTAGAGAGTATTGCACAGGGTATGAAAATTCTATAGAAAACAACAGGTGGTTCTAAAGTAAACCCTAGCTCCTTTGGTTCTTAAATAAACCCCATTCTTGTTCCTAATGAGTGGGAAGTCTATTTATAAAAATAGGAATAAGAGGTGCGATCGCCTAGCAACACATGTCTTCTTGTTTAGCGCTAAAAATCGGATTTATAAACGAAACACACACTCATACACAGAGTGGAGCTGAAAACTCTCTATTTCAATTTTGACTCACCATTACGAAAGCGTTTTCTCCGTTATATCTCGAGGAAACGACTAACTATTGAAATTTCAGCGCTTGATGAGCAATTCAAGTGTCGTTAGTCAGTTAATTATGCGGATTAACAAGCCCAAACTTGAATACAAATTAGTTCATCTCTACAGCTAGACCCAAGGGAGCACCTTGACTTATTATTGTAAAAACACAAACAATTAATAACTTATCAAGGATTATTTAAACACGCGACAAATATATTGACAAGACACGAGATAAAAATGATTCCGTTATTTTGCCCACACATTCCTCATACTGGCTAGATAGCTCATTCAAGTTGATCAATCACTGGCAGTTGCTTCAAACGAAAGGTACTGAAAACTGATCATTTCCATCCGGTCTATATCTCACTATTTTTACTTGTACTGTAATGAACCCTTTAACACCTCTCTTTCTTTTAAACGTTCTTTCCAAATGTTTTAGTACATTACCTCTCTTACCTTGCAGAAATAGTTTCAAGTCATATTTTTCATTTACTCTTGGTTTCATTAACGTAGTTTCAGATTTCCATTTAGTGCACTTTGACATTCGTCCGCTTCTGTGCTTTTAAATGCTACCGATGCTCCTCCGGTTTGATTTTCTGCTTTCAATCTCTCAAATGGCACATTTTGTTGTTGTTCTTCTATTGCTTCCAACCTACTACAAGAAGCTTCGTGTTGTGCTTTCTTATCTCGACGATAGAAGATTTTAGTACAGGTAGTGCATTGACACTTCTTTCTTTGAGCATGTATTTTCATGTGTCGTTTAAGACTGTCCATCCTACTAAACACTTTGTTGCATCTCAAACATGACAACCCTCTAGCAGCACTCACCGGTACTTGCAACGTTTGCTGTTTGTCAACTATACCTTCCAGAAACGCTTCCATTTCTTGACAAGAAAGAGGATGACAGCAAGAGATTCCCTCCCATTCTGCAATGGACAACTCTTCGGTATTCATCTTAACTCAAGATATGAGTAAAATGAAATTTCTTTCGAGATTTTATAGCTTATCATTTTCTCAAAATGACATCATAATTTAAATTTAAGGACACCCTTCCTTAAAGAACGTTACTATTTTTAGTAAGATAAGATTTTTAGGTTTTATGTGATGTAATTTTAATTAGCTTATGAGATTAGCAAAAACTTAAAAATGCCCAATTCACGTGCGCTCGTGTGCATTTTTCACCTGTCATTGTCCAAAATGTGAAAAATCTCGTTTTAATGAGAAATTTTCTCTCTGTCGTGTTTTTTGTTTGAATTTGAAAAGAATATGCTGTTTGGATTTGTTCTTTCGTTTGAAAAATGCCTTCGCCTTGCAGTACAGATTTGCGATGGCGAATTATTTGGCTTGTTTTGGGAATGAGGAAACCAGCCCGCGAAGTAGCCGAGTTATTAGGCGTCACCCAAAGAACGATTTTTAATATTTTGTGTGGTTTCCGTAGAAACGGCAATGTTCTGCCATGCCGAATTGGTAGGCCAAATGTCATGGCATCTATAGCAAGAGATGAAGCATTTTTATTGATGGAGTATATTATGCGCCATCCAGGGGCCTACTTAAGAGAAGCTGTACACTACCTTGAAAATATTTGTGGCCGAGAGTTGAGCTTGTCTTCAGTGAGACGTTGTTTTGGACGCCGCGATTTTTTACTAAAAAAGGTAAGACAAAGATAGCAAGAAATAATGACTTAAATCATTTGGTTTAGCTATGATGACAATAGCTATCTTGTTATTGACTACAGCTCAGGCGCTTTGCTATTGGTGCTAAGCCAGCACTTATTGGAGAATTCATGGAAAACATCTCTATCTTTACTTCAGAGGAAAAGATCTTCATCGACGAAGCTGGCTTTGTAAGTACATTCAAGAACAAACTCTTAAACATGATCGTTAACTTCGATTAACACACTATTACATTAGGCATTTACAGACAATTCCGTCTTGAATTACAGGATAGACGAATTGTAAGAAATTACGGTCGTGGCCCAAGGGGATGGAGAATTCGAGCACCTATTCCAGCATCGTGGGGACCAAGGATCTCTGCAATTATAGCCGCCAGTCAACAAGGCATTCAGCTTTGCAAGACTACAACACGTACTATAAACGGCGAGCGCTTTACTGCATTTGTAAGAGATCAGCTTGTCCCTATTTTAAACCCCTACAATGGCGAAAATCCAAACTCGATTGTTATTTTGGGTATGTTGAGACAATGTCATTATCTTTATAAATTATTTGTAGTAATTTTAAGATATATTCATTTATGTACTTTTTGGCAGATAATCTTCCTGTCCACCATTTGGCGGAAGTTCGGCGACTTATTATAGCGACTGGCGCCCTTTTACGATTCTTGCCTCCTTACTGCCCGGACTTAAATCCAGTAGAAATGGTTATAGCCAACGCCAAAGCAGCTATCCGAGAACAAGAAGTGTTGTTTGCACGTTTAACAAGACCAAGGGGTCTAGTTTTACTAGCAGTCCTTCAGGTGACACAGGATTTTTGTGAGGCGTCTGTTAGGCATTGTGCTTATTGAAGTCAGCTCAAATAATGACTTGCACTTTGTTAATTGCAATTTGAATTTTATTGACTGATATTTCTTAGATCTATTAGTAGCAACCGCTTTTGCTCATCGAACTCTTGCTGGGTTAACACTCCTTCCCTGTGTAGTTCCCCGAGCTCTTTCAGTTGCGCTAGAAGGACTGAACGTAACTGAAAACGAAAAAAAAAGTATGGAAAATAAATATATTATTATCGTTAAAAGAAAAACTTGTTAAGGAGAATAGGCGTTAAAATGGTTTAAGCTATATGATATTATTCCTCAGTGGAATCGCGACCACGATTAGTTGAAGTAAGGAAGTAGAACAACATGAGAAACAGTAAAACATAATTTACTTACGTTGGTTGAGCTCTCCTGATTTCGTGTTTCGCTGCGACGGGTACCAGTTAATGCAGATGTCACCGCCTCTGCAAGTTGCACAAAGGTTTCCCCTGCCGTCGAAGTGGATGCTGGTTTCCTCCTCTTCACCTTTCTCTCCGTGAAGGGTGGTACGTTGGGTGGTGTTTCCATGCTTTCATGTACCCCGCTTTCCTGGAAGATAGCGAATATACATACAATATACAGTCAATCTACTAAAGAGCAAATTTGAACGAGGTACGCTTGAATGATAATACAGTTGTTTGTTACAATATATTCCCTGTACACTTACGATTGTCTCTACCCAGAGGAAGTACTCTGCATTTGTATACTTATCGCCGTGCTTACTCATTAATTGCCTTAGCACACCTTCCACTCTTGACGGCTCGCGATCGCCATCTCCTTGATGTTGTGAATCATCTAAATGTCATTAATTAAAGGGGGAAATTAGCTTAAAAGAAGCAAAGACATGAGATAACAGCAATTGAAGTAAATGAAAATAATCCACCTACCATTCCTAGTGGTCGATAATTTCCGTTTCTGGCCCTGGCGTGTTCTCTTTTTTTCTTCAATAAAGATGACCAGCTCGCTGTGTTTGTGATGAAACCTGCTTGTGTAAGCGTCATCAACGTGTTGATCCGTTTTAATCAACCACTTGTTATTGCTCTTTCCCACATACCCAATATCCACGTCATCCACCGTGACATCTTCCTCGAAGAAAGATTCTGTAGCCTCGAAAACACTCTTTTTCATTTCAACGGCGTTGTCGTAAATATTGAAATCTTGAATGATTTGCCGCTCAAACGTTCTTTTATCGGAGGGATCGTTGTAAATACGGATTGTCGTAAGAAAGCTCATCGTGTAACGACAACAGTAGATAACCTATAACTGACCAAATTTCCCATTCTTTTATTTCCTGGAGTATGCAAATGAATCGAATTCCCGACAGGATTCGTACATTCTTTTCTTTTTTCACAAATTCAAACAAAGAACCCGGCAGAGAGAAAATTTCTCATTAAAACGAGATTTTTCACATGTTGGACAATGACAAGTGAAAATGCACACGAGCGCACGTGCAGCAAAACAATATATCTCTCCATATGAAAACCTTTTTGAAAACGGGTGTATGTATATAATCACCACATATCCAATTACAACCTTGTTCCAGGAAATGTGCTTACTAAATGTTTACCTTTTTTTGTTAACATCACAAGCAAAACCTTACAATTGGTCCTATGATACCCGTGATGACCAATGTAAAACGGAAATTCTTTTTTATAAATTATCTTGTCTTTAAATTTCCGATGGGGTTGAATCACATCAGGGTTATCGGTAGTTTAACCAATTAGGTTAGCGGCATTAGTCGCACCTTGGGTCTCCATTGTTGTCGGAGCATTCCGATTGGTCGAGAGCTTCGGGTCATCGTCGGAAAGGGTTTGGTTCGCCTTCGGATAGGGTCGGGTGTCGGAGAGTGGTCGGGTCATCGTAGGAAAGGGTTCGGATCGGCCTTGGGAAAGAGCGAGAAAAAATAGAACACAATAAAGGTAAAATGAAAAAGCGAATTTAATAACATAAGAAAAATACAAATGAAAGTTACAAAGTAATCGACAAAGAATTAGGACGATGTGAATAACGATAATTTAAATAAGTAAGTAAAATATCTAGATGGTAGTCTTGTATGTTAGGAGGACGCTTGAGGCCATTAGCCGGAAGACGATGTAGTGGGATGTTAGGATGAGAAAGGCGGAACAATTGAAGAATGTGTGCAATTCGGGAATCATATAGAGCCGTTTCATTATTCTTGTCGATGGCTGCAGTCATATCAATCTGCAAGAAAAACAAAAGTAGTTTTTAGCTGTGATGTCATGTCATGTTCCAAACCGGGAGGTAACACACTAACCGAAACTTGTTGTTCTTGCCTTCTGGAGCAATGAGGACATTGATTAAAATTTCCAACTGGAATCAAGACCGTTCTATACCATCTTTGAAAACCCTGTCTTGTGATGTTCACATATTTAGGAATATGTGTGTTGCGGCAAACTGGAATTCTAACGAGTTGAGCCAAGACTTTTTTCCGCTTGACGTTGGTTTCAGCTACGAAAGCCCAAAAGATAATAATCACTTGGATTTCAACTGGAAGTAGTCTTCCAAAGGGTTTGTTGTTAGCATCCACAAGTCCGTAGAACTTCATATTCTTTTTACCCCCAAAATTACAATATACACCAATTATCTGTAAAGTTAGGATATTCTTTTCTTCATCTTTCATACGCAAGTTGTTTATACGAATCCGACCCTAACAGAAAGTTCCAATATTCATTATTTACACAATCATCTATGAGCAGGTTTAGAGAACCTAGTCGTGAACATTGATCACACAAATTATACAATTCTATTCTTATATTAGCCCACTGTGTATGATTGCAAACAGGTTTACACTGAATGTCATCTAAAACGAATCTGCAAATAAAATTGGATGCTCTCTTGTTAAATGCGCATAAACTCTGAAAAATCGTTGATTGGCTTCTAAAGGGTGAAATGCTCGTTGTGAATAAAACAAAACTAAATAGTCTTCAATAACCAATTGCAATGTAATAATTCGATTAATACATTTACAGGCCGATCGATAAAAACACCAGTTCGTATAGGGACAGTATGGACGACATCGAATATCCTGCAGAGTCACTCTAGTAAAACAGAAACATTTAATTACAGTCACTTTTAATTATACGTTGATAAAGTTAATATCATAGGGATTGTCTAGAAAGTAAAACTATATTAATAATAGTAACAGAAGTTTTAACTCCACGGGTCAATCCAAGTCTCCAAGTATGACAATGTCATCCAGCGTCGTTCTACAGTAAATAAAGCGTAATTAAGTCTGAGGGTCTTTCGATTACTTCATGCACTTTTGAAATAAGCTTGACGGATGATCTAAACATTTAAAAACAAAAAAAAAGGTATCATTTAAAAACCGACCTTGGAGATCTAGCCATGATATAACCAAATTAGAAAACCATATTTTAGCACTCGGTTGCTAGTGAATTTCTTTAAAACATCAAATCAGTGCCAGTGTGTATCTAAATCAACAACCAAATTTATGTATAAGGACTCCCATTTAAAAACGATAAAAGTCACATTAAAAACGATCAGCGTACCGAAATTTACTCGATGGTGTTCCCTGTATACAGCTCTCATCAATTGATATGCCCTCACATCTATAGCCTCGTAACAACCATGGAATTTTGGTATATAGTGCAATGCTGCTGATGGATTGGGAATCGCTAACAGCGCCATTTCTCCAAAGACATCATTTTCATACTGCTGATTTTGCTGCACTGAAGCAATTAAACTGGTGACCATGTAATTAATTTTGTACGAGTTAATTCCCTAATGACTTGCTCGCATCTTATTGGTTTCTGAAGCAACATTAACTTCGTTTATCATTACACGCGCCACAATTTACAACATAATTTGCAGTAAACGCAACACACGATAACAGTCTTTTCAGCAAAACACAAAAAAGCAGTATGCTTTTACTCTTTGGAGTAACACGGGACACGATCAAGAAGTCTGTGAACATTGCTTAAGAATCGGAACGTACAAATTATTATTAGATGACTATATTTTTCCTACATATTTTGTTTATTCAAGAGCAACACGATATTATGGAATAGGGGCACATCAAAAATGTTATAATACATATAGAACCATTTTTGAGGAATGGTCTATAGCTGATTATGATGAAGAGTTACTTGATCTCGCTGTAGAAGGAATGTAAACTTTGGGAGTTAAAAAAATATTTTTTGCCTACGTCCCATTTGTAAAAGGAAATGTGAGGATGTATTCAACAGCTGGATGAACACGTAATCCCTCAAAGAAAAGAAAAGTTTATTAGTCGTAATGGGTTTCCGGCGAACAAGAACGTGCTTTGCAGTCGTAAATGGGATTTTAGACAATTGAGCAGCTCAGCAGACATAATTTAATTTTACCCGCGTAATCATTGACAAAAATAATTTTGGAGTTTGGGCGGAATGACATGTAGAAATAGAAATTGGCAGAGTTAATAAAGTTCAATCTTACGTAACTCGCTAAAACGGCTATAAAACAAAGTCGCTTACCTCAGTTTTACCTTTACAAAATCACGGACCAACGTCCCATTTGTAAAAAGGAAATTAAATAAAAGAGTTTGTTATTGTCAATTGTAGTATATTAATGTAAGAATGGATTCAACAGCTGGGTGACCACTTAATCCCTTAAACAAATAAAAGATTTGGTGGCTAATGCAATACTTTGCAATAGCGAAAAACGTGCTTGTAATAATTTTGTGTCCCGCGTTTAAAATTGCGTAGCTAAGCAGGTATAATTTAATTTTCCCCGCGTAATAATTGTCAAAAATAAATTTGGAGCTTGGGTGGAATGACCCCAGCAAAAAAAGGTGTTTAGCTCAGCAAATTGAGAACAGAACTTAGCGTATCAATAAAAATAAAGTCACTGACTAGCGATGATCATTTTGTTTTACCTTTACGACGGCACGCATAGATTTACCAACTGAGTATTGAAACATGGCGTATTTTGATCAGACCATTCAAGGTAAATAATATACTAGTAGTAATCATAGATCAATAAGTGCGTTCGAGTTTTCTTAGCTCCAGATTAGCTTTTGTGTCGTCAAGCTTGATTTCAAAATCATGGAAGAGATCATGAATTAAAAGGTAAACATTCTTTTCGTAAAAAATGTTCTTCGCGTATACGGCTTCAAAATATCTCACTCATTAACTCTCTACTCTTAAAATGTCTTACTCTCCCTCAAGCATGGTCGATAAAAATGTAAAGTAGATCGTAAAAAGTTCTTTGTTGTTAAAAAGATAAACATGTCACTACAAACTTCGAAAAAATGGTAGCCTTGAAGGTTAAAAGTCTTGGCTTCTTGCGTGACACAACTTGAAGTGAAATCAATGATCATAGGAGCGACGGAAACATATTAGGTTTCTGCTAGATTACTGATGTCAGAGAACCGGACAGAATCTTTTGCCATTGTGCAAACTTTTCATCTCATGATTATTTTACGTTCATGTAGGTCAGTTCAACATGGTTTAAACTTAGCTTGCTTCAGCGAGCGAGATACTTATCATGCAAAATTACCCGCGTAGAGATATCAGACGTGAATAAAGCATTACAGTTGTAACAAACTGCACTGATACGCTCAAGCTTACTTTTTCGTGCATGAAAGAGGTTAAACTACAAATATGTAAATAGACTCAAACGCACGGGTAAACTTCTCACGGCACAAATGTTACCTGGTCTTTATTTGTGTGTTTCTACGAAGTTCCAGCTCGATTTGAACGGCATTGGCCGAAAAGTTTAGCAGAATCATCAGCTCAGTGATAAAACCCGCTTAGAAAACAACTCCAAAGTTCATTCTTTTGCCGAACTCAAATATTCCCGTGTAATCATCTAGTTGACCTTGATGGAACCAGTGATGCACGTGATTGCCATATGACAATTGCTTATGACGTAAAAAATAGTTGTGTGCGCATGTCCACCAGGTGAGCCCGCAATTTCTTTGGCCGGCTATTGGGCTTAAAATTCGTGCGCGCGCTTAATAATTATTCAAAATGGCGCAGATTTTGAACATCGCCCGTCCAAGTAACCAAAAATCTCGAATCTTCACGCCTGGCATGCACAGGTATCCCATCGACCACAGGATCCCCAAAGATTACGAAGCGTTCTCCTAACGTCGAACGCAATTAATCAGAACTTGGTTATAACTTTTCTTGACAGGTGGTGGCTCCTAATAGAGCCGTTTGTTGGTTTGTCTGACTGTTCCTTTAATAAAACCTGTACGGTTTTCGACTGTT